GCGCTGCGCCCAGCATGCTCAGTGCTCCTGCGGCTGCGGGCGCCATGCTGCGAGCTGGGCGAGCTGGCCCCGGCACAAAGGCTGGGAGGCTGCAGAAGCAAACTCCCACGGCCAGGATCGAAATCACGCGCACAGCCTTTGCCATAGCTTGCTTTCTGTGGTTCCTCAGCCTGTTCTCTGAATGCCTTTGATCTCGAGCCTAAAGGCCAAAAAAACAACAAGGCTGAATGCAGGCGCCCTTCTCCCCTTACTCATCTCCCAGTTGTCCGCGCTTCAACAGGCTCGGACGAAGGAGAACTGTGCACCACGGGGGACTGCAACCACTGCCACGAAAGCCCCTGCTGCATGTCGGACTAAGGTAGCGGCAGAAGCCACCTCCAGACACCAAAGCATGACTCACAGCTGGGGCAGTTTCCGACTGAACAAATGGCGATCTCCGAGAAACGGTGAAGTCGCTGAAACTCAAAGATAAAATCGCAGCAGCAGCCTTTAAATTAGTTTACAGGTTAGCTGCCTGCATGCGCTTAGAAAGTGTATGAGATCATGCGACGCATATCGCGCATGTTCAAGAGGATCAAAAGAAGGCTCAGCGCTGGGACGCCTTGACCACATCCTTGAAGTCCATCAATGCCTGGTAAGCTGCCTTGGCATCCGCCGCATTTACCTTGGACATCATGTAAGGGCCCACATCCTTGCCAAGGTTGAACTTGTTGAAAGCATTGTACACGTCCATGGTCTGGGATGCTGGCACTGAAGCGATCATATGCCCGATGGCTGCATTAACTGCAGTGTAATCGGCAAGAGTCGCGACACCCTTGGAGTCCATGTTGGCAATGGCCTGGCTGTGAGCCAGAACACCCGATTTCAGAGCTGCGGGGTCCATGGACGCACCCATCTTCAACATCGTGTTGATCGCCTTGAGCACCTCCAGAGGAGGCTGGGTGGGAAGCTTGGCATAGACGTCGGAGGTCCAGTCGATTTCTTTCAAGAAGGGGTAAGACTTCTCGGACAGCACCTTTGCTGCGTCGTCGATCTTGTCCGCGAAAGCAGGCGCTGCGCCCAGCATGCCCAGTGCTCCTGCGGCTGCGGGCGCCATGCTGCGAGCTGGGCGAGCTGGCCCCGGCACAAAGGCTGGGAGGCTGCAGAAGCAAACTCCCACGGCCAGGATCGAAATCACGCGCACAGCCTTTGCCATAGCTTGCTTTCTGTGGTTCCTCAACCTGCTCTCTGAATGCCTCTGATCTCGAGCCTAAAAGCCAATGCAGCAAAAATGCCAACCCCCCCCCCCCAGAGGAGCGAGAAGTCGCTATGGCGGTTTCTTTAACTCACTAGCGGTAAGGACTCAGTGCATGACGGGTTCACGACGACCCTGAGCCGAAATCCTTTCCCCGGACCCGATCTCAACCCTCCTACTCAACCAGGAATCCTGAAATCCCAAAGCACCTAAGCCATCAGCGACTCACCAAAGAACCGGTTTAGGGTTTACATAGGGTTCAGGGTTCAGGGTTTTGGGTTTATAGGGTTACTACTACTATTACTACTTCTACTTCTACTTCTACTTCTGGGTTTTTTTTATGGTTTAGGGTTTAGGGGGCACTGAGTCATGACTGTAGGATTCCTCTTCAGCGACTTGAGCTGCCGCAACCTCAAGAGCAAGGGGCTTCTGAGAGCATTCCGCTGCTTTCGGGAGGATTCTCTTCAAAGCTTGGGAAACAAAATACAAAAGCCGCGAGTTCTCTCTGATTCTGCTAGACAACTGGCTAATTTAGGGGCCTCAAGAATTAGCGATACTATTTTGAGGTTCCTTATTAAATATAGAATAATGAGCCCCAAAACCTTCTTCGAATCATTAAGGCCCCTATATGAAGTAAGGACTTTAGCTACGGCTCCTGCGAGTTCGTCTGTTAGGCTAGCATGAACGACGCCGGGAGAGGCGGCGCGGCGGTGAAAGCAGCGACGAGGATACCAGTCACAAGGACCCAACAAGGATCTAAATGGGAGTTAGATTAAGGGGACCCTTGGGGATAAAGACCCTCTCAATAAGGTCCCTTTTAAGGGAGCCAGAAGTAGGGTTCAGAAGGGGTCCCCTTTAAGGGGACTCTCAAGTAATACTACCTACTAAACATAAAGATTATATCATGCAGATAATCTTAACTTGAACACTTATAGACGTACTTGTATTTACATTCATGCATCCTCACGTACATACAATATGTCGGATCATCCAATCTACAATTACAATTTGAGAGGAAACTCACCTGAGAATCAGGAACACGTAGTCACACACACACTCTATATACATATAATGCCCTCTATCTATATATATATATATATATATATATATGTGTATATATATATATATATGTGTATATGGATAAGAAAAATAATCATAATGACATATAACATATATATGTGTGTATATATATAGACACATACATACACAGATGTTGTGCTATATATATATATATATATATATATATATGTGTGTCAACACAAAGTTCGGGCCCGGGCATCTCCATGGAGCTCTTGGGGCTCGCAGCCGGAAGGGACGCCAAGGCAGCCGGGGCGGGAGCGCGCGATGCGGCACCGGCCTCTGCGCGAGGGATTTTTTTTAGGGTTTTGGGGTTTTAGGCTTTGGGGCTGAGGGTTTAGGGTTTGGGGTTTTAGGGGTTTAGGGTTTGGGGCTGAGGGTTTCGTGCTTCTAGGGTTTATGGTGTTAGGGTTCGGGGTTGAGGGTTTGGGGTTTTAGGGTTTGGGGTTTTAGGGGTTTGGGGTTTGGGGTTTTGGGTTTCGTGTCGAAACCTGTGGTTATGAGGACTCCTATAAGGGATACTAGTTACTATAAGGGATACTAGAATGGATACTAAAGGATTACGTATCACAAGGATCACTCTAACAGTGACTGCAAGGGATGCAAGAACGTGATGCTTTCATGTGAGAGAGATCTTAGATGTCCTTCCATTATCGCATTGCTCTGCTTGAGCTGCGTTCTTTCGTTGCTTAGTCGGGCCCGGGGTTGTTCATGTTTCGAATCTACATGTCGCAGATGTCAAAATCTCTACTATACTGAACTTAGAACCCTAGCACAAATTATATTTTAGCTGTTTCTTAGGGATTATAATAACCAAAAATTACAAATTATTTCTAAGTACCCCTAAGTCTGTCTAGACAACAGCTCAGCCGACCGACTTCAATCCTCAACCCCGCACACAAGCAAGCATAACTTGATAGAGCGAAGTATAGCAAAACAATATACAGTAGTACAACATGGCATACATCTAGTACGATCAGCCATAATACAAACCAGGTTTCGGGAGTGTCGAGGTGCGATTGAAAGATAACTGGTCAGCGCAATGTTGGGGGAGTTTGGGCCGTAGAACCAGTAGAATAGGACTCGAAAGCGTCTCAAAGGGCTTTTATGGGGTGGCAATATGGGGGCCACGATAGTTAGGATTAGGGCTTTGTAGCCTTGATCTCGAGACTCAACTCTACCTACCGGCAGGGAAACCAAGATCCTGAAGTCCCCAATTAATCCCAACACCACCTAAACCTCTCTGAGGAGTACACGGGCGAAGGCGGTTTCTGTGCCGGCCTTAGGGAGAGCGACGATTTCAGCGGCTGTGCTCACCTTGCAACTGACATAGAACCCGATAGGCTCCAAAGCACTGCGGTCTAGCATTGGCCCCACTTTAGGCTGCGTGTTCGTGAAATGAAGCCAAACCGATGGGTGTGACTGCCTGGGTCTTGCAGCACACCTTGTACATCGTTAAAAGCAGTCTGGAAAGCGAGTGCGCAAACAGAGCGGCAGCTGTGGAACCATGAACCAGCCTTTGTCCACCCAGACTCCTCCAGCCACCCTGTTGCTAACGATGTCGGATCGTCTGCTAGAGACCCACCTGCTAATCGCCACATTTTATAGGGCCCCAAAAAAGCACATAAGCAAAAATTGGGATAGGGATATCCCATATAAACACCCTTATAATGAAGCCCAGTAAGGTAGGGATATCCCGGTAAAATGCTTATGCTTATGTGCTTCTTGGGTTCCTAATTTAAACTGACGAACATGCCAGCTTCCGACTCAGCCATGCACTCTGTGGGAGCTGCCTGTGAGGTTGCAAGATGAGGGCTTCAGGCCATGTTTTTTTTGTTTTTTTCTCCTCCCTGCTACAGTCGGAATAGCTAGTAGGTAGAGCCTGGATGAGGACCACCTGGACATGTTTTTGTTTTTTGAACCCTCTTTTCTCCCTGCCCGAGTTAGGTCTGGTTGAATGCCACGGGTGGCTGACATGTTTAGGGTTTAGGGTTCAAGTTTCCGCTGTGTCCCGAGATCTCGAATCGTGGAGCATGTTTTCCGCACAGTGTATGCACCGCATCTACGGTGCAGGGCCAGGGGTTCTTAATTAGGCCCTTACATTAGGGTTTAGGCTTCATCTACCACCCTGGGAAGCCCTCCGTAGGCGGCTTCCACTCCACACGGCAGGCATCTGTCCTTTCTTTCTCCAGTCGTTGCTCCGTTTGACTCCTCTGCGCGTTCGCCCAGCTGACTCGGTCGACGCTGGATCTGCGCAAGGATCTGCGCAAGCTCTGTTTTGGTTCCAAGGGAGCTGCGATAAGGGATCTCCTTTGGAGCAAAGCCCTCCTGCTCGAAGTTCAAACAAGATGCAGTGCATCTGCGAATGATAAAGGCACCGGTACGACAGGTAAGGACCCGGACTGATGTATGTGAAGCAGAGCGAGGCTGATCCAAGTTCAGGAGCAGCAACGCCCACTACTTTCCTGCGGCATTCATAGTGTAACAGAGCTCCTGTCCTACCGTTGCCATGAGGTCAAGCCGGCGCCGAAGGAACCGGCCAGTCCCAGACGTGGCTGGGTCCGCGATGACAGAAAGAAAGACCATCGCTTGAGAAAATCCTAAAATTGTTGATCGGTATTGATCGGTCGGGCATCACAACCCTTCGCAAAAACATCTGTATAAAGGCCCAGTTATTCGGGCCTTTATGTTACTTATCTTTGGCATGGCACTGGGCGCCTTCTCCTGAGCAGCTGATGACCACGAAGAACTCCATGCCAATCTTGGAGATGCAATCCAAAATACACAGCAGGGCATCTTCCATGCCCTTCGAGATCAAGCCGAAATGCGCTCGCCCGAGCAAAACCACCACAGGATAGCCTGAGGTTCTCTTAGGGGGTTTACGGTTCGAGGGTTCTGTCCAACATGGCTGAGGAGTTTGGTTGCGGGGTTGAAAGTTTCTGCGGCGGTAGTCCCCACTGACCTTTACGCCGCTGCCGCCGCTGCTGCTGCTGCAACCACCAGCACCACCACAACAACTGCTACGCCTGCTGCTCCTACTAGCGTAACTGCCACTACAACTGCTACTGTTGCTACTGCTGCTGCTGGGATGAAGGCGAGCTGCAGCACCACTACCAGAGCGACAGCAGACCGCAAAAGTAGCGACAAGACTGGCAGCAATACAGATGGTGAAGACAAACACACAAGCACTCATTCATAGTTGCATGTACAAGCAAGCAGTCATCCATATTTGTATGTTCAAGCCAGCTAGATGCCGAGTTGCGTAATTAGCAGTCTTCTTGAGAAAGCTGTAAACGATTCAACCACATAGCATTTTGATCGGCAGTCGACATGAATACATGCATAAAGATGCGGACATGGACGTGTATGTGCAATAGTGTTTAATCCTCGATGCACGCATACCTAGTTGCATCCACAGCCATGCTTCCTTGCCTAATGATAGAGCACTGTTGAAAGACCTCGACCACGTGAGCTGAGGACTTTGACTCCGTCAACCCTCGACCCCAAACCCATAACCCCAAACCCTCAACTCTAAACCCTGAACGCTGAACCCCCCAAAAAGAGAGCTTAGCTGCCAGACCATGAGATGATCGTAAGCCACTTGAGGTACGAGAAAAGCTGCCTGGCGTGGCTCGCAGAAATGGAGGACTACGCCTCCTCCACCGCTTTGGGGGGGGTTTAGGGTTTAGGGTTTTGCGTTTTGGGTTTAAGGTTTTGGGTATAAGCTAGAAGCTGCCCCCACCCTGTAATAGTGACTATAAGGACTATATTAGGGCCCTGTTATATTCCTATTATACCACTATTACAGGGTGGGGGCCCCTTCTAAGGTATAAGGGTTCAGGCGTCAACAAAAAATGCACTAGCCTCCTTTTTCCTGCCGGTTTTAGGGTGTAGGTTGTGGAGTTTAGCGCATAGGTTTCAGGGCTTACGTAGTAGGGGTTTTAGGGTTTGGGTTCAAAACTTTGTGAGGGGTTCTCTGGGGGCTCTGTGGCGCCTTGATGTTTTGGGGTGTCGTTTTGCTGAGAGCTTTGAGTGGTTCCAGCAGCTTGCTATTCCATTCGTACATACGAGTGTGAGTACAGGTACATACACCTTGAAACTGTGGGTATATGTATATACCCACTTATGTATATGTACTTCCACAGGTATGGAGGTTTACAGCTATGTTGAGAGACGTAACAGTTAGCACACAAACACATATATATATATATATAGATATACATATATATATATATATATATATATATATATATATATATATATATTATGTGTGTTTTTACACTTACACATGGTGCAGATCTGTAGATAACTATAACTACAGAACAGATAGATAGAGTGGTAGAGACAGAGATGTATGTGTATATATATACATACACACTCACACATACCAGCGAACAGATAATGCGGCATGGTGTATGTTTAAAGCATATGTCGATGCGTGTGTGTGTGTATATATATATATACATACGTGCATGTGTGTGTGTGTACGTAGATACATATATATATATCCACATCTGCATATGCATACGCAATAAAGGGGGTATGTGTATACATATTAGTATGTATATATATATATATATATATATATATACATATGCATCTACCTATGTCTGGAGATATTGCGTTGGCGTGCGTTGGGTCGAAGTACAACACTGTCACTAAGCTGTACACCGAGCTGCTGCACGTCTGGGGGACGCTCGAGCACGGTGCCGTTGGCCACATCCACCTCAAGAGATGGCTTCCATGGCCAGTTGCAAAAATGGTAGAGAGTCATGAACCATCAACATTATAGTAGAAGCCCAAAAGTTGGAAACCCATTAGCCTCCATCCTTAAGAGTAATGTATAGGGAATCCCAGCACTATTTGTCCTTCATCCGGTTTCCAACTTTATGCAGTTTACTGTACTTCCGGCAGTCGTAGGTGGGTGGTCGGTGCAAGTTTCAAGGCTCCGGAGCGAGTCTTCACGCAGACAGGACATGGGCGGGAATCCTAGGCCTGTTCATTCGAGTACTTGTGCTGGAAATATATTGCAGCTACTAAATACTGCTACTAAATACTGACCCTACCGCCGTGGTACTGCGCATGCTGACAAACTAATTGCACACACTGCCGATACTAAGTCTCACAGAACTTGTCTAAAACTTCTGCTAGCACCTCATAGCGAACACAAGCGTCCGCACCTGTAGCGCTGTCACCATGATGACGAAGAAGAACACTGAGATGCCGAACCAAAGATTGCGCTGAAGCGACTTCTCCTCTCAGCAGAGTGCTCATACCACGGCCAAATCATGAGACAGAACGACTGTTGGAGGTGCTGGTCTGTCTGCACATTCACATATGCTGGCAATGTCCCTGCACAGAATGCATGCGGCTGTGTGTGCGTGTGTATGTGTGCACAGAGTACATGCAGCAGAGTCAATGTCTGTGTGTGCTTGTGTCTTTCTACCAGTGTGTCTGTGATATCCGTGCATCTGTGTGTCTGTGTACATGTGGTTCCGTGTGTGTACCGGTTTGTATGTACATGCATGAAAACACCTGCGAATTCTTCTTCATGTGTACATAAGTCTGTACTTAGACATGTACATGTTCATTTTAACGTCTCCGAGACACACCATGACATCATGCAGCCAGTTTGGCAAGGCGCCGTACGCAAGGCAAGGATTAATACCACACTGTGTGGAGTAGTGTGTAGTGTTATGCATGATGCGAGCCATGTTTGTCAGCAGTGAAGGACATGACATTACGTTGTACTTTACCTCTTGTGCGCTGACCCTACTGAGGTAGGCAGTCAGTCGTGCAATGAAGTGCACGTCGCTGTAAAATCTTATTGCGCTCATGATTAACCAACTACTGCACGGTGCAGCTTTCGGTACAAACGACAATGCAGTGCATCTTGTTCCATGTCATGCCTATAGCCGAAATTATGGTGCTATACGGGGATCTATCAAACAGCCTAATTACAATAATATGTGACACCGCGTGCAATCACTGCAGTACAATTTAGACTGGGTGGAATGGCACGCGGCAGCATGCGCTTGCATATCATGGTATCTACAGACATCCGTGAGCTCACAACCACGGGTTAAAACCACTTTAAGCTCTGAACCTCCAACCTAGACCGTAAGCCCACCGACAACCGCTTAATGACATGGCATCGCAAGAAGCCCCAGCTCCTTTGGCACAATCATGGCGCTGACGATGCCACCTGCGGGAGAATCAGACGACCGAAGCCTGAAGCCCACAACTGAACGATCAACTCTAGGACATCAAAACCTAAGCCCTGAGCAACAAACCCCAAACGTGCGAAATCCTTCCGAAAAGAAACCTTGAACAGCCAAAAAACACAGACAACTAAGCCTTACTCCCTTGCTCCCGCAACCTGTGAGCATCAGCAGATCGCAGCCGATGACAAGAATGGCCGTGTGCTTCTCCTGAGCCGAAGACCCGAATGGGAGTTTCCAAAATAGGGGTCCCAAATATAATGACATACTAGTACCCTAAATCGTAGGATCCTTATTTTAAGGACCCCAAAACAAGGTACCCCTTATTTTCGGAAACTCTGGAATCGCTTCCTTAGGCGGCTCCTTGAAGCTTTACGGCTTTAAGGGTGTGTGCTGGGGGCGGGTTCCCGTGAGGGTTAGTGCAAGGCCGACTTCAAAGGTTCCTGTAATGTTGTTTGGTTGCAGGTTCCTATGAGGTTTGTTTCCAATTTTCTACTCTGCGGTGGCTCTCTAAGGGCTCCTTTCATTGCAAGGCTTCACACTCCGACCCTCCTGGAATATTTACCTTGAACCCTAGAAGCCCTAAAGCCAAAAAGCTTCAATGCACCAAGGCACGGCCCCTCCGACCACACAGAGCTCGAAAAGCATCAGGGGCGTTGTAGTAATCCAGTCGATGTACCTGGCGTGCTATTGGGCTCCCGGCTGTTGCATCTAGAAGACATATAACACAAGTAGCATGCGAATCTAAGGAAGAGCGTTGGTACTTCCGTGGGCACCTACGTTGCAATCGCAATCGCATACTGCAACAGATGTAGTATAGATGCCTTCATAATTAGACTAGGGTTTCGCTGTATGATTGAAAACTGATAGTAAGGAAACCTGATAAGGAATATTGTGGGTAAGTACTCCGACACCTATATACATATATAATATACGTATACATATACATATATATATATATATGTATGTACATCCGGGAGAAAACGATTCATGCCACAAGCCCCTGAGTTCCCGGAAGTGTCTAACCTGGATCCAAAGCTTGAAGCCCTAAATTCCCACCCCAAAACCCTTTGCACTCTAAGACCCCGGCAAAAAAAAGTGCATCTATGCATTCGAAGACTCCTAACCCTCCACCCATCTGATGCGCGCACCGGATGATGGGTAGCTTCCTGCCACCGAGCTTGATCTCACCCATGCCTCAACATCATTCATTTTGGTTTCATTTGAAGGGGTTTAGGTCTTCGGGGTTGGGGGTGGAGTGGCTGCGAAGACGCCCCGGAAGCTTGTGTTGAAAGTCTTTTTGGAGTGGTGAGCGTTGAGGCTTGAGGGTGTAGACAAATACCATCTTACGGCTCTCTTTTAAACAAGAAACTATACTGTACTATGAGATGCTGGAAACCCGAAACCGTATTCCAAGCCTCTATTTCACCTGTAGAGTTTACAAAGTCGAAACCCAAAATTTGGAGCACGGAAGTAGGATGAAATGTAACGATTCATGTCGGAGCTCTATGTCGTCGAGGTTGCGGGGTGGGGTTTAGGGTTTAGGGTTTGTCTTTAGGGGCAGTTTAGAGTGATATTCCAACTACCCTACCTTTCTTCTACTGCAGGATCGTTGTGCTTGCGGGAGAGCAGGACATGTCGGCGCAAAAGACCGGATGTGACCCAGAGGTTCAGTATGTGGGCCTTAGAAGTATTAGATTTGATTTTGTGGAGACGGGGTGGGGCATACTACACTTTACTGTTCAAGATCCCCTTACAGAAACCTAGCCTAAAGAAAGCTTTATCATGGGGTATGCTTTCGGCGTAGGCGCCTGAGATCTTCGCAAGGTATGCCAGAGCAGCAATGGCCATGACGAAAAAGGTGACGACCTTATGCAAAACCATAAACCCCTACAGCACTACACCCTAAACCCGAAACCCCTAAACCCCAACCCCTAAGCCCATAAACCCTCAAACCGCCACCACGTGGCAGCTTCTTGGACTTCAGCGGTTCCGACTTCGACTGTGGAGTTTCGGGGCCATTCGTCGCTTGCAACAGTTGAAAACAGCCGGGCAAGACCTCAAGCGGCCCTGGTGCCTAAACCCGAATAGGAATACACAGACATATATATATATATACACATACATACATATATATATATATATATACATATACATACATATATATATATATATATATATACATATATATATATATATATATGTGTATATTACACATACGCATATACATATTGTGTAGGTGCTCTTGATCGCGCCGCAGCTCTTTGCGGGCTTCGAGCCGCGACCCGGCCGCACACTCTCTGAAGGGCTGGTATCGTGAACGGCGGTAATGAGCTGTGAGCCCTCTTCTGGCAGTTTCGGCTTTTTGGGGTTTAGGGCTTTGAGTTTAGGGCGCCCTTGTGAAAACGAAAAAGCTCGAAACGAGGGTCGCAAAACTGCGACACAGTGCAAGAACAGGCTCTCCTCATTTCTCCGTATAACAGAACAGGAACAAACTGCAACGGAATCCACGTCGTGACTGCTAAGATGAACCAGATGCAGCAAACTGAACTCAAAAGCCATGAAGAGCGACTGTCACTAACACTTCTCTGTTGCTGCCGGCGGGAGATCTGAACTCAGGTCAAGCGGCATATGCTTCCTCGTTGATGTGCCGCGCCCAGAACACAAGCAGTACGGCCGATGCGAGTGCGAAAAGGAGGAAGACGACCCGCGAAACCCAGATGGCGAACCTCGGCACTGAAACTCCCTAAACCCTACCTGTAGCCGAAAGGACCTACCTTTTTAAGGAACTATATATAGAAACCATAATAAGGAATCCCAAAAAGGTAGGTCTTTCCGGCTACAGGTAAACCCTTATAACCCAAACCCTCCTGGTGCACAGCGCTGAGCACCCTGAACTGAACTGAAGCTTTCGAAGGCTTGTCACTTAACTCTCGAAACACGAAACCCCAACCCTTTAGACCTTATACCCGAAACCTTAGAAGCTGCCCCCACCCTGTAATAGTGGTATAATAGGAATATAATAGGGCCTAATATAACCCTTATAGTCACTATTACAGGGTGGGGGCAGCTTCTAACCGAAACCCTCAGCCTAAGCCTGAAGAGACCTTGAGAGACATTTTTACCCTAACCGTTCCTCTCGACGAACAGGGTTTTGACTAACTACGCATGATACAACGACTATGCAGGAGCTTTCAAGGGATGCTGAAAAACAGTGGCCCTCACAGTATTCCTCACAAAGCCTTGCGGAAGCCGTGTAACATGCTGCTTGCAACCTGCATGCAAAATTCTTAGAACGCGATCCTCCAAATTCGAAACCTGAGACCCTCAACTCTACCTAGAGTCCCCATTGTAGTTCCTTTTTTGGTTAACCAGTTTTATGGTTACAACCCTATAATAGAGATTTTGGTTAACCAAAAAAAGGAACTACAATGGAGACTATAGGCTTGATGTGGGACCTTAACGGCTAGACAAAAGAGTCAGGGATTGTAATAACCAAAAATTAAAAACTATTTCTAAGTACCCCTAAGTCTACATTCGCCAAAGGAGCGGTTGTAATTTGGTTAACCAAGAAAAGGAACTACAACGGAGACTATAGGTACACTAGCCAAAGGAGCTGGTACGTCCACCACTCATGCTGGCTGCTCTGAACCTTCTGCTGTCGCTCACGCAGGCTCTCGCTCATGGAAGTGAGAGACTGCCTCACTCCCTGCCACACGCGTTCGGGCTTTTAGGGATTTTACAGGGGCTTTGGGGTTTAAAGGCTTACCGTCTCAAGGTCAAGGTTTAAGGTTCGGGGTTTATGGACTAGGCGGAGGTCTCGGGTTTCGAATTTTGGGGTTCATCATGGTTCATGGCTTAGCGCAGCGCGCCGTGCGGGTAGGATAATCAGACGAGTGGGCAAAGTGGAAAGAGACCCTGCGTACTTTACACTGCAACTTCGTGGGGGCAGCGAAGGAGAAGCTCTGCAAACACTTTTGACCCTAAACCCACCTGTGGGACGAGATCCTTGGCGAATGAGTTCTCCCGCGACGGCTCTGGCGTTACGAGCTTGCCCTCTCGTACGGCCTCGTCACGCTCCTTTTGATCCTCTTCGTCTTTCCTGGCGAAACCCGTCCTATACGCAATGGTCATACCATACCCCTAAACTACCCTCGAGGCCCTAAACCTTACAATCCCCAAATGTTGCCGTGATTAGGAACCTTTGGGTTCATGGATTATTGCTTGCTGTAAAGAGGCAGACGCTTCCAGGAAATCGAAAAAAGACAGGGTTTCTGAACAAGCTCGAAGCTACGTAGTGCTCGTGCCTAGTATCTCGGAGACGGAGATCGTGTCGTCGTCTGGGCACCAATTCACTTCCCGTGCTTTGGCCATGGCGATGAAAAATGGCTATACAAAGCTACGCAGGGCCGAAGCTCGCAAGGCGCGAAGGAAGCTGCGAAACGAAGGGGTTCATGATTTACCATAGGCAAAAAGCTTCCCTAAACCCTCTTGCAACACGCTTGCCACTTCCCTAAACCCTAAACCAGTTTGCAGGAGGTCGGCGTGGTCTAAGCCAGCTTACGCCCTGAAGACTCTGCTGCCTTCGAACATTGACCCTAAAAACATATACTTCAGGCCTGATCCAGCGAACCCTTCCTCCTCCCCCTTTCGGCCTTCGGCACCTCCTTGCTGGGAGCTGTCAGCCTGCTAAAATGCGAGCATCTTTGAGGGAGTGTCTAAGTGTTCAGGCACTGGTGCTTGGTATGTTGGCTTGTGCCAGGGAGCTGCAAAGGTTCTCCGGTTCCCATTAGTATATACTCTACAGCTAGCAGCTAGAGACAGCGGCGGCGACAACAGCAACAAGCACAAGAACAATAACAAGAAAAAAACAGCAGTATTGCAACAACTATTCCAGCTACTCTGGACGTTAGTGGTATTGCTCCTACCCTTCCGCTTTCATTCCCATCCATCCTACTAATCCTGTTACGACCCTTTGCTACGATGACCATGGCTGTGTTGGAAGACTGTGCCACATCCCTTAATTGAGGATTGCCCAGGGTTCGTTTAAGGGATCATTATAGGGTTTAGGGTTCCGGGGAGTCTAATATCCCTTAATTCAGGAATATCAGAATTTCGAGCTCCGTGCTTTAGGTCGCAAACCCTTGGCCCGAGCCGGGAATTGCAGCATCGGTTGCTGTTGGTCTCCTGTTTCGGGCACCTGCGATGAAATCGGAAACAGCTGTACTCCGGATCCCATAACACGAATTGAGAACAGCTGAAAGGCTGCAGTGAAATCAGCAAAGCCTAGGCCTCTTTGTCCATCTCCGGTTTCCCGTCTCGCACCATTGCAAATTACAGCACTGTACAAGTACCTTCTCGACCTTGAGTCGTACCAGGCAGATCGCAATTGTGATCCAGTTTAGGGCCTGGGGACCCTATCAGCATTCGCAAGCCTATTCAGGAGTTCATGACAACCTTGCTCCACTCCAAACCCCGGATGCTCAGCTTTGTCAAGCCACCTCGGCATCCAAAAAATCAAAACTTCTGGACCCTAACCGAACCAATTCTAGAGCCTCAACCCTGATCTCCTAAACCCAAACCCTACATCTTAAACCATCAGCTCCTGAAGCCCAGCCCCCAAACCTAAACCCTGAACTCCGGACCTGAGAAGCTCTTCCCGGAGGTCCAGGGCATCCTTGCTGGGAGCCTGATCCTCAGTAGTAGTAGTAGTAGTAGTAGTAGTAGTAGTAGTAGTAGTAGTAGTAGTAGTAGTAGTAGTAGTTGTTGTAGTAGCAGCAGTAGTAGTAGTAGTAGTAGTAGTAGTAGTAGTCAGTCTGTACCAGGCAACCGTGGATCATGCTGTATTCCATTGGTGCATTATGTGTCCAATATGCTCTGCGGTATTCTAATATATGACATCTGTATTACCTTGAAAGATATCTCCTATGCTGTACCACATTATAGTATGTTACACTAGCTTATACTAGATTGAACTACACTATGTCAGCCATTGTGTACCACGTTTTACCGTGTTTCCCTCTCTATGGCATGCTTGCGCCAAACTCGAGACTCCAGCTGGAGCTTGGGCCTTGGGCCTTCCGGAAACTGAAAAAAAGGGGCCTTAGTGATTAGAATAGGGGTTTGGGGGCCTACCATACTACAAGTATGGTAAGGAACCCGCAAAATGGTTTTGGTAACTACTAAGGCCCCTATACTACTTCTTTTGTAGACATGATTTGGAGCCTCCCCCCGAAGAAAGATCGGGCTGAACCAAACACACGAAAGAGAACAACCACTGGAATAGATAGAAGAAACAGAGATGCAGAACCTGTAAAATACAGCAAAGTGATAAAACAAAAAAACGTTGCAAACTATACGCAGCGTTCCTACATAATAAGACGTGACTATAATGTATGCCTCTATATCATATCATATTAGTACAGGCATAAAGTGTAGGAAAATTCTGAGATGTCGTCTAGCTCAGCATAGTCTATAGTCAAGTAAAGTGTATAACCTATATCATGGTGTCGTATAACACAGCAAAGTATTGCCTAGTACAGTACAGTACACTAGGCTAGGCTGTATCGTGCGGCACCATACCTTCTTCAACGATATTCCGTTAGAACAAATGACAAACTACCCTAGTATAGCTTCTATCATAGCACATTGATGGTCTTTATGGCGTGCTTGCTTCAAGGATTCCGCTCTGGGGCGGCAGGCTGGTTGAAGCACAGAGGTTCAGAGCGTGTTGCGATTTCGGGGAGAAGCTTTAGGGTTGAGGATCCCAAAGTCAGGCTTCGGGTCCGGACCTTCACAGAGAAGGAGAAACAACAACCCTGGACGAAAGACCAAACCCAGCACAGTATATCGAAAGCAGAGAACCAGTGGGGGAAACAAGCATCAAATCCCCAGTCGCGAATCCGGAATCCACCGTGCAGAGCCTCCCAGTCTCCTTTTGCCACAGGTTTCGCTTCTGGCAGTATGCCATGGTATGGTATAAGCAACGTATACTACAATAGGTAGACCAAAGTAAACTATAGTAGTGTAGTATACAGTTTGAGGCCCGAGATTGCAGGGCTATCAGGGACTCTGATCAGTGGGTTGACCGTGGTGTGTTGCATTGATATACGATGGTATGATGCGATGTACCCTAGTAGACACATAACATAATAATACTAACATGGTTTGGTATCCCTGTGCAAGAAGCAACCGTCAAGTCCGTCGGCTGAGCCCCAAGCCAACATGGGAAGAAGGGCCTCCACGTCCGCCAGGGCAGCATCGTACTTCTGCAACCTCGGACGACGCGTGACACAGTCGGCATCAACCACAATAAAGCATGACAATATGTGCTAGAATGCAAGACGATATGGTATCATATGGCGGAGTCTCCTGCCATCTGCCGGGACGTGTCCTCATAATAACGACCGGCACAACACACCGAACCTAGAGTCGGCTACAATAAGTGCGATATGAACCGATTTGCAAGATCTGTGAAGCTGCAAAACCCTAGGTCTTGGCCGCGGTCCTCACTTGAACCATTTTTTGTCGCTATGGCTGCTCTTATGGCTACGATTGTCTACCTTCCGGCGTCTGGTCGTGTCGCTCCCTGACACTGACACCAGGCCAGCCAGAAACGGTAAGCAGCGCCTCTAGCGCATCGATGGTAGTGAAAAGACTGAGTGCAGGAAAGTGCGTCAACAGCGGACGCACCACATGAAAGTCGAACTCACCACAAAAAAGAAGGATGATGATGACCATCATCATCATCATCGGCAGCAGCAGCAGCAGCAGACGAAGCAACCACAGCAGCAGCAGAACTGCCAGTCGACGTCATCACCAGCATCGTGAGCAACACCAGGAGGATGGGCATCACAGGCACATGTCTCCTCCAGACACAGGAAAAATTAATTAACAACAATAGCAAGGTTTAGACGAAGATCATCAAAGGTTCCATCGTAGATCTGCCGGGCTGTAGGAAGAACGATTCGAAGCCTCATGAACCTGTCGCCTTCCGGTGGCAGCAGGCAAAACGGAAGTTCACCGTCACCCAAAGCCGAAGGCCTGAAGCTCCAAACTATCCCCTCAGCCCTCAGCCCTGAAGCCTTATCGGTTAAGGGTTTAGGGTTTAGGGTTTAGGGGTTTAGGGTTTAGGGTTTAGGGTTTAGGGTTTAGGGTTTAGGGTTTAGGGTTTAGCCTTCTATCAGCCACGGCCTGGGTGGGGAGCCCTGATCTTTTGGCGCCCTCCCCGACTCGGAGAACATTTGGACCCGGGCTCTTTTCGAGCCATGGCCCTTCGGTACAGTGCCTGATCGAAAGAAGAGCGGCAGGGTCTTAGGGTTTGGGCTTCTCGGGGCTTCTTCAATTTGCAGTTTAGGCTTTGCCGGGATGCGGGTTCGAGTTTGCAGAGCAACTTGCCGGCCAGCCTTTTTCCCGCACCAGCAGGCTCGTTACGCCAGCAGGCGTGCGCAAACGACTCCAAGATCTCAACTTGGCCCAGAACCCTGGACCCTAAACCCTGCGGCCTAAATCCTAAGTCCAGCAGATTGTCTGTTCATCTACCACGACTAGCCCCAATGCAAGCCTAAGCCAAAAGCGGGCCCTATAAAAGCACTACAGCAAAACCAGAGCCTGACCAGAATTCAAAGGCCTCAACACAGTCGACCGGAACTTTAGAGTTGAAAGGTGGTAGACGGTGAGGGAGTTTCCGAAAATAGAGGACCCTAATATGGTACCCTCAATAGTAGGATCCTCATTATAAGGACCCCAAATAAGGTACCCCCAGAATTTTCGGAAACTCCCATGAACATATGCGAGACATTCTTCGATCCAAGTCTGACGGGAGTCTTGGGAGTCGTCGCGGGTTCGACGATAGGCCAGGCTCTTGTTAAGGAACTCAAGGGAGTAGGGTTTAGGGTTTAGGGTTTAGGGTTTAGGGTTGGTAAATAACCACAAATATTAATTCTTACTAAACATGAAGTTCCTTCTAACAAGAGCCCAGTAGGCCACCACCAGGCACATACAGCTGTCCACACACGGTGCTAGGCAGAGCGCAGGAGACATGATCCACTCTTAAGGTGCTGGGGTCTAGGGTGAGAATGAACCTAACTGATGCTTTCGGGGTGTTGAATGAAACTCCGAGGGATTGAGAAACACGACTTGCTCTTCGGATGCGTTCTGAAACCCTGCCATCACAACGTTGTCCCAGATCCTGTGATGCGGGCGTCTGCACTCAATCAGTAAACACATACAATGAGGCCTTGGTAAATAGAATAGGGTTTGGGGGTATGTTCTACTACAAATATGATAAGGACCCCCCCAAAACCCTATTCTGATGATTAAGGCCCCTACATTATAAGACAAGAGAGAAAGCATGGCGTCATTAAGCAAGCCTG